CCTGACTATACAGTACCATAGCCATATAGACACGTTATATACATTACTATCCATTACCATGGCCATACAGACACATTATATACATTACTATAACCACACGTTATAGTTTCATCACCCAGTGAGGTTTTACTCCCACTGTGCTGCCAGCAGGCTCCTGCTCTCACTTCCACTAAAAAGTCCCCATGGATCAGACAAAATCTAGAGCAGCTGGTACTTGCTGGCAGAGGAAGGCTCTGTCTTGCCCTGGGGGAGAAAAATTCTGTTCCCCAACATTTCCCTCTTTGAGGCAGAGCTGGGAGCTGTGCGGTATTTCCTGTGGTTGCAGCCTCTAATGAGGTTAACACTGTTTTTGAGGTTTAACTCTTCAACCGACATGAGAAAGGAAGCCACAGGCTCTGCAGAGTCAGGGTTTGGGAGCAGCAGGGAGCCAGTGGGATGGAGGGCACTGGAGCATCCCTGGAGCCTTGGACCTCTCAACCCTGGGAGTCTGCAGCTTGGAACATCCTTGGATGAGCTGGTGGCCAGCACAAGCAGAGGGGGTGCACTCACTGCTGGTGAAAACAACCTCACTCATTAAGGACTCCTCATTCCATGCTTCTGGGATTAGCAGGAAAATGTCCTTTCCCTGATGCAGCTCAGCCCAGCACACTCTGCTGTGCTCCTGTCACCTTGTACACAGCAACACAACCATAAAAATCCATTTGGGATGGATTTAACTTTGTTGGGGTGTCTCCAAATTCTGTAAGAACTTTCAGAAGACACTCCTTCCCCCGAGGCTGCTCCTCTAAGGGATGCTGGGTTTTCCCATGGACTGACTCAGACTGGAAACTCTCCATTTTTGGTGCTGTTATCTGGGTCAGCCCCACTGCTCACCTCGCTCACACTCACCGATGCTTCTTGCTGCGCTCGGCAGCTCCGGCCGCAGCAGGAGGAGGATCCCAGCAGGATCCTGAGGACAGCCAAGGTAAGAACCCTCTACTCTGCCCAGCTTCCAGACCCCTACATTTAAATACAAAATATGCCAGCTCATTGTCCTCACCTGCTGCTCCCATGCGTTATCCCCTCCTGGCACAGCTGCCGGTGAAGATTCCACCTGGTTTGGGCTTGAACAACAGGACAGCTTTTTCCTTCTTTTTTTACTTCCCATTTCTTTAGCACTAATGCACGAGGAGACTTTAACAGAGACAAGATCAAAGCCCAGCATCTGCCAGCAAGGGAAACAGTCTTGTTCCTTTGGCTTTGGAGTTTGAAAATGCCTATAAATTGGAATAAAAATATGAATGTGAGTGATTCCCAGGGGAGGCAGAGCCTGCAGTCCCTTGTAAAGCTGCCAGTGGGCAGAATTAGTGTGTTTTCAGCTCTTTTTGTAGAATACAAGTTGTATTTTTTCATTTGCTCTGACTTGCAGAAGGTTCATCTGCTTCTCTTAGTAGGTCAGGTAATAGGGAGGCACTTAAAATTTGACTCACTAGTGATGAGTATTTGAACATCCCTTAAACCAAACAAGGTCAGTTCACACGGCAGGAGAAATACCGAAGTACTTGCTGCTGGTGGTGGCCTGGTTTGGGTTGAAAAACAGCATTTTGAAGCTTTCACTGTGGACTCTGCTGTCTCTCCAGGGAAAACTTGCCATTCCTGACTTCAGGTATTGCATGGGGTTATTTGAAAAGAAAATGAGGGAGTTGTGGGGCTTTTCTGGATGTTCAACCCTGGGTGGGGGAATGGGGTGTCAGGTCTGGTCAGGGTCTGCTCCCAGGAGGATGTTTTTCATGAAAAAGAGCAATTTTCCCCCAGGGAGTTGCATTTCCTTGCACTTCAGTCCGTGCCTTGGTTGTTTCAAAGCTGACCCATCCCCACATCCCAAGTCCCACAGGGCTGGTGAGATTAGGCTTCCCGTCTGGAGAGGGTTTGTCCTGGTGGGATACATCCAAAGAAGCTGGGGAGGAAGTCAAAGGGAACAGGGAAAAATTTAGGCAAGACTGTGGGATGCAGACACACGAGTGGCTCCTTGGGGAGAGGTGGGAAGCCCTGGCCTGAGGTTTTGGGGCTGTCTCGGGGGGTTCACTGCTTGCAAGAGCCATTGTTCAGCTTGGACAGGACCTGTGGGAAAGATCTTATGGAAATGAAAGTTTTGTCCCACAAAACCATGTCTGAGCATCCCAAGGGATGGAGACTGTAGGGTGAGCCCTGCTGTGTGGTTAGCATTAAAGAGCTTTTTCTTATGTTTAGCTGGAATTTTCTGATTTCCAGTGTGAGCCCATTGCCTCCTGTCCTTTCACTGGGCAATGCTGGGAGGAGTTTGGCTCCCTCATCTTTACTTCCTCGTCTATACCCAAGGATTTAAGCCTCTTTGAGCCCCTCCTCTCCAGCAGCTCTCCCAACCCTTCCACATTTCCCAGGTGCTCCCGACCCTCAGGCATTTTTGCTGGACTCCAATCTGTCCATGTCTCTCCTGTCCTCAGGGGAGCCCAGCCCTGATCCCAGCATTCCAGATGTGCCTCCTCAGTGCTGAGCAGAGGGATACCATCCCCCTGACCCACCAAACCCATCTCTTTCAAGGAAGGTTTTCAGCCTTGATTTCCCTGCTGTAAATCCACGTTTTCCTGCTCCCATCGCCTCCTGGTGCTCCTGCCTGTGCTGGAGCTGGTTTACAGGAGGATTCCCTCCATCCCCTTTCCTTCCACAGACTATGCCATGCGTGGGCAGTGGATGCAGCCCAGGCCATGGCAGGGTCTGGCAATGCTTTGGTGCTCTACATCCTGGTCTGCTGCCTGTGCCAAGGTAAGTGGCCACCACATGGCTCAGCACGGCCACCATGGCCTCGCTGACCACCAGAGCATACCCTGTGGTCCTACAGGGAATTTAGGGTGGGAATAGGACAGTTGTAGAGCTACAGCTGTGGATTTTGGGGGGAGCACTGCACTAGCATTGCAAAGGGGTCCCATGTCCTGCGGCACCCTCTGTTTCCCACTGACATCCTTGGAGCAGGACCATGTCCAGCCTCACTGCAGTGGCTGTGCTAAGCAGTGGGATGTGCCTCCACAGGCATAGCCAGAGCACAGCCTTGCCCTTTCCAGGAAGGCCAGATGGAGTCTGATAGTGGCTGTGAGCCCGGGCTGCCTGGGCTAGTGCAGAGCTCCATCTGATAGCCCAGGGCAGCGCACGCCTCCGCCGCCCTAATCAGGGGATCAGAGTTCTCGAGACTGTGGGTTATTTCCCTGCACTCATTTAAACATTAGAGCAAAACCTAAAATTGTCTGTTTCTGATCTGCTGGGATGAGTCACTGGGTGCCGGGGCATTGCTGCAGGCAGGGGTTGGTTTCATCACAGATTCATAGACTGGTTTGAGTCGGGAGGGACCTTAAAGCTCATCTTGTTTCACCCCCTGCCATGGACAGGGACACCTTCCACTATCCCAGGTTGCTCCAAGCCCTGGCCAACCTGGCCTTGGGCACTTCCAGGGATGGGGCAGCCACAGCTTCTCTGGGTAACCTGTGCCAGGGCCTCACCACCCTCACAGCCATGAATTCCTTCCCAATATCACTCATGACCCCTAGTTTCTCCCTATCCCATGGGGTTCAAGGGGGTGCTGGCATCCCCTTGCTGCAGGGTCCAGCCATGCTGCTGCTGCATCCCCTGTGGAGTGGTGCAGCCCAGGGGCATCCCTTCCTGTGGGACACCCACCCAGAGCCACCCTGACCCAGCGGGTATTGGCACAGGTGCTGCAAACATCAAGTGCTCAGGGCGCGTCTGGGTCGACCCCGCGCCCGTAGTGCAGATGGGCTCCAACATCTCCATCAACTGCCTCTCCACCCTCGGCTGCCCCTCAGCCAAGTTCATCATCCTCCTCAACTACAACCGCACTGAGGGTCCCCTGCACCCCCTCAACAGCAGCTCCGTCCAGCTCCGGCTGCGCGATTTCCGGCTGCCCTTCGGGGCCATCGTCTGCTTTGCCCGCTGCCCCAACAGCGGGAGGGACCAGCTGGTGTGTGGCACTGAGGTCCGGGCCGGCTGTGAGTACCTTGGAGGGGGGGCTTGAGGGCTTTTGCTGAGCACCGAAAAGTTGGGGCATGCAGTGTGTGGTTTTGGGGGATGACCATACTTTCACCTGTCCTTGCCCCTGCAGACCCTCCAGACCCCCCCAGCAACCTGAGCTGTGTCATTGCCGAGGGCTCGGAGCACCTGGAGTGCAGGTGGGATGCAGGGAGGCCGCCCCACCTGCTCACCCACCACACCCTCCACCTGCGCAGGTGAGGCCCCCAGGGAGCAGGGGGGCTGCAGGGATGAGAGGGAGCGCGGGACCGGCACGTGGCAGCCACAGAGCCGGGTGACAGCAGGGCTGCTGTGAGCGGGTGCCATGCCCTAGTTACACTTCCTACAGCTCACGTTTGCTCATCTTCTGCTCGAAAACCACACGTTCCACCACCGGTTGAGTTCTGCATGAGTAACCTCCCGCACTCAGTGCCGTTACTGACCCGGCACACATTCCATCATGCTGTGGCACATGGAAGCAGCACGTTGTTTTCAGGTGCTTGGACTCTCTCTGAGCTAAAAAGAGGGTGAACCTAATGCTGCCCAAATCCCAAAACTGAAACTCCAACCTGAAGCAGAGGTGCTGGCTGCTACATGGTGTGCCACAGCCCATTCTGCCCATCCCAGGATGCTCCCTGCTGCTGAAGTCCCCATGGCACTAGCCTGGTATGTCACAGTCCATCCTGGGATGCTCCCTGCCACTGAAGTCCCCATGGCACCAACCTGGCAGGCTTTCAGTTACTCTGACTCAATTATTGAAGACATTAAATTCCATCATACTTGGCTTTATGAAGAGAAGGGATAAACCTCCTGTCTAAATTTGCTTGGGATCAAACTGAACCATGCAGCCAGAAAGAAAAGTTCCCTTCCTGTCATGAAAATGCGAATTCCCAGCAAAAATGTCAGGAACTGAAGGGAATAACTTTCCAGTTTGCTTTAGGAGTGACAAACTCCGGGTTTGGGGATGACCATGCCCTGGTCACGAGCTGCAACACCTCGGGAGTGTCACCATCCCAGTGGATGTCTGGTGCTGGGATGGGCACTGACAGGCTGCCTTCTGCTTCCCAGGTTCGCGGCAGAAGATGAGGAGGGTGCTGAGGAGGAGGAAGAAGAAGAGGAGAAGGTGTTTCCTGCAGACTCACCAGTGCCCCTGAGTGCGCTGTGCAACAGGAGCCACTATTCGGTGTGGGTGCAGGCCAGGAATGCAGTGGGCACTGCCCACTCGGCCCCACAGCTCCTCAGCCTGCAGGACATTGGTATGTCTGCCCTCCCATCCATCTGCCCACCCATCCCTCTATCCATACAAGGGCAGCCCCCCACCCCACCCGTTTCTGGCTCTCCCCACAGTAATCCCCACTCTGCCCCTGGTCACTGGTGCTGAGACAACAGAGGCATCCTCTCCCACCACCACGATCCACTGGAGCCGTCAGACACAGCTGGAGAACGTGCACTGCGAAGAGCGACACCAAGCCAAGGGCACTCCAGCATGGCATGTGAGACCCCCAGGACTCCCCAGACCTCCCCCCATGTGCAGCATCAGGCCCTGTTAGGAGAGGTGCAAGTCCTAGTCCTGTTGGAAACCCTCTTAAAAATGGGAGCATTTGGGGTCATTCAAAACCTACCCATTTGCTCTGGTACTGGTGGGGAAGGTGCACCCCAGCCACAGGCAGCTCCCGCTTTTGGGGTGCAGGAGAGCTGGTGCCATCTGAGAGAACAGGTGGCAGGGTTATCTCAGCTTTACAAGCAAAAGGGCAAAATTCAAAATGTTTCCAAACATTATCTGCTCTGCAAGGACAAGACACAAAATCCTCTGGGATGCTCAGTGCAGACCCACAGATACAACTACACTGGGGCAGCTCCACCTGAGTCCCTTTGGAAACATCCCTGGGTGCTGGCAGGGGCTGAGCTGGATCCCAGTCCCCATAGGAGCCCCCAAAATCCCTGTGGTGTCAGAAGCCCAGCAGAGAAATGGGATGGGGGTTCTCTCTATGGCTCCACAGCTTGCCCAGTGCATTTGTAGAGGGGACAGTGTGGACTCTGCCCATCCCCACCCATGCAGATGAGAAAGGCAGTGACCACCACTGTGTCTGGGGGCTGGTGGTGGCAGTGGGGGCCCGGCTGGGTCCCACTTCCCCCCAAGACCCTGCTTCCCTTGCAGGTGGAGGTGTGGGACAGTGCAGCACAGGATGGGCCCCGCTGGCAGCACAACCTGCAGAGTGACACCCAGTACCTGTTCCAGGTCAGGTGCAGGCTCAGCATCCCCAACAGTCCCTGGAGTGCCTGGAGCCCCCCCTTTCTCTACACCACCCCGGAGGCAGGTAGGCTCAGCTTCAGAGACACCCCTGTACATAGCATTTCCAGAGTGCCCAGAGCAATGGTGGAGTCCCTATCCCTGCTTTTTAAATCCCAGAGATTTAAAAGCCATGTGGATTTGGCGCCTGGGGACATGGGTTAATAGCGACCATCCCCCAGTGCTGGGGGAGTGGCTGGACTTGGTCATTTAGAGGGCTTTTCCAACCTAAACAATTCCATGATTCCACGATTCCACAATCATTGATAGCCTCTTGCCCTGGGTGGAAAAAAAATCACACCAGTCAGGGTGTCACACGAGCCACAAATATCTGTCACCTCGTGCCAGTTTCCCCCTTTTCATCCTGGCTGCTAACACCAGGACGAGGTTGGAAAGGGCCGGCTCAGTCATCCCGGCCAGCAGCGGGACGAGATGCTCGAGGAGCGTTGCCCTCACATCCCGGCTGTAGTGAGGAAGACGTGCTCGCCCCAAAAAGCAGCGCCCGCTGCTGTTTCCTCTCACAGCGGCAGAGACCCGGCCAGGCAGGGCTTCCTGCTAGGGCTGTGTGTGTTGGGGGGAGCCCCGTCGGTGGGTGTCCCCCGGTGCCTCAACTCCCATCCCACGCTCTCTCCGTCCCGCAGCCCCCGCCGCGGCTCCCGACGTCTGGCGGCGCCTGGGCCCGGCGTTCCCCGACGGCAGCCGCGAGGTGACGGTCTTGATCAAGGTAAAGCGGGTTTTGGCAGCCTCTGTGAAATTTTGGCGTGCTCTGCTCCTCCCCGAGCAGAGAAGGGAACGCCCTCCCTGAGAAGCCCTTCGACCAAAGGGATGGGCGGGGAAGTGACACCCCAACGTGAAGTAAAATCTCTCCATCTTTGTAAAATCCACGTGTGTGTCACCCAGCCAAGGGCACATCTGTGGGATGTGTCTCAGTGTTACATCCCACACCCGTACCCACGGGACGGACTGTCTGTCTTGCCGTTCGCAGCCGCTGCCCCCCCGGGACGCCCGCGGCAGGATCCTGGGCTATGCCGTGGCTGCCGAGACCCCCGGAGGAATGCTGGTCCTCTGCAACACCTCCAGCACGGAGTGCGATATCACGGTGCAACCGGGAACCCACACCCTCCTCATCACTGCTCACAACTCCAAGGGGGCTTCCAGCCCCACCAGCATCACCCTTGGCCAGGGTGCCAGCAGCCAGGAAGGTAGGATGTCACCTGCAGGTGTAAGGATGTCACAGGCCACTTGCAGGTGTAATAGACTGGCTTTTATCAGGGTTGCAGGAGAAAAACGCTGAACTGTGCAAGGGAAAATCTCGGCAAATATTTTCCCTCAGCAGCCCGCTCTGCTGAGGGAACACAACATCCCCCAGACAATTCCAGCATTCCCTGGAGATGGAGATGCTACACAGGTGCATATAGAATCATGGAATCCAGGAATGGTTTGGGTTGGAAGGAACCTTTTTAAAGCCCATCCAGTCCCACCCCCTGCCATAGGCAGGGACACCTTCCACTATCCCAGGTTGCTCCAAGCCCCATCTAGCCTGGCCTTAGACACTTCCAGGGATGGAGCAGCCACAGTTTCTCTGGGAAACCTCTGCCAGGGCCTCACCACCCTCACAGCCAAGAATTCCTTCCCACTATCCCATCTAAGCCTGCCCTCTGGCAGTGTGAAGCCATTCCCCCTTGTCCTGGCACTCTGTGTCCTTGTCCCAAGTCCCTCTCCAGTTCTCTTGGAGCTCCTTTAGGCACTGGAATATCAGCCCTTCACCACCTAAGGCTGTAGTACCTTGGCTGGCAGAGCAAAGGGTGCAAGGCTGCTCCTTTACTCCCTGCCCCCCAAAATAGCTCCTGCAGCCTCTGCCAGGGAGTCAGCCCCTGCTGTGAGCTGGGTCCTTGCAAACAGAAAAGGAAAAAGTCCTTTCTGAGCCACAGGCTGTGGTTTTCCCCACAACCATGCTTTCCTATTTCTGAAAAATGTCTCTTTTAATGAGCAATGGAAGGGGAAAGTCCCATTCAAACTGAGGACAAATACATGACTAAACAGAAACTGAAGAGAATTGAAGTGGAAAAAAACTCTCTAAGCTCTCAGTTACCTGAATCATGTGCATTTCTTGTAAGAAATGACAGGTAAAGCATTTCAAGGACATGACAAAGCTGACAATGTGTTTTTGTAACACATGTACATAAACATAGGGGAGAGAACGGAGCTGGGGAAGGATCTGGATCTCCAGAAGCAGCTGAGGGAGCTGGGGGGGGCTCAACCTGGAGAAAAAGAGGCTCAGGGGGGACCTTCTTGCTCTCTGCAACTCCCTGACAGCAGGGTGGAGCCAGGTGGGAGTCAGGTTCTGCTCCCAGGGAACAAGGGACAGGACAAACAGAAACAGCCTCAAGTTGTGCCAGGGGATGCTCAGGTTGGATATTGGGAAAATTCCTTCCTGAAATAGTTGTCCAGCCCTGACACAGCTGCTTGGGGCAGTGGTGGAGTCCCCATCCCTGAAGGGATTCATAAGTGGATGTAACACCTAGGGACATGGGTTAGTGGTGGCCTTGGCAGTGCTGGGGGAATGGTTGAACTTGATCTTTAAGGTCTTTTTCAATCTAAATAGTTCTATGAAATATAGAACGATATATAAAAATATATATAAAAAAATCTATCTTCGTATATTTTGTGTGTTTATAGATATTTATATATAAACCCCCATATTCTATAATTTCTTGTTCCCTCTTCAGTTTTAAAAAACTTCCAGGAAGGACACATTTTACCTGGGCTTAGCTGACCCTTCCCAGTCTCCTACTCTCCAAAGATGAGTCTGTTGGGTGACACTTCCCTTGCCATCTCTCTCGGCAGAATTCCCAGCACCAGTGGCTCTGGAGGTCAAGCCTGACAACCAGAGCAGAGTCTTGGTTCACTGGCAGCCCCCCCTGCACAGTAAGAGCCCCCCACTCTGGTTCATAGTGGAGTGGGTTTCTACCTCCCAGTATCACCAGGAGGAGCACTATTTTTGGAAGAAAGTCCCATCCCAGGAAACACACACATACATCCAAGGTAAGATATTCCAGAAGTCCTTTTGCTACTTGGTGCAGTTCATCAGGACATTATAAATCCAAAATAGATTATAAAGGTAGTTTCATTTGAAGCTGAGCCCCCACCCACTTGTTTTTGGGGAGTGGTACAAAGAGCCCTTAGGGAACAAGGAGAAGTGAAGAAACAGGAGATGTGAGGACAGTCAGTGGGATTTGGTTCCCTGGGTGAAGGTCACAGGGAAAGAATGAAGTGACAGGTGAGCTGGCAGCCAGGGAACCACACCAGACCTGTGGAGGCCTGTGCAAGCACAGGAGATGCTCCATCTACTTACACCGCTCAGCAACACGCCCTTGAACAAACCTAGAGCCTTCACAGGAGGTTACAAACACATATTAAAGGCAAACCTTGTTTTTTTCCCAGAGGAGGCAGCAGCTGGGTTTCGCATCAATGTGTCGGTGTACGCGGTCTACACCGGCGGAGTCAGCAAACCCAGCTCTGGCAAAGGTAAGCCTGGGGGGGTGGAGATGCTGCTGCTTCTTCCCACAATCTGGCAGTTTGGTAGGATTACTTAGTCTTAAACACAAGATGAAAACCCCTCCCATTGACCCGAGGAAAGCAGAGCTCTAGATGGAATCCTCTTGACTACAGGATATGAAAATAGAGGTTTTTGTCAATATGTCTCTATTAAAGCCTTCTCTAGGTGGTCTTTGCTCCTGCAAAGATCTAATGCATTCAAGAACCACATCTTACTTTATAAGATACACCAATGGACTTGTTCCCCCTTTAGAAAGAATGAATTTGCTGCTTTGCACATTTCACAAGTGGTTCAGACAAACCAAGACACAGAAAACAGCTTCTACAGAGACCAACTGGCCCAGCCACAGCTTACCCCTCCTTACCTGGAGCGGGAACCATGGAACACTTAGGGTTGGAAGGGACCTTTTAAGATCATGTAATCCAATCCCTCTGCAATGAGCAGGGACATCTTCAACTCCACCAGCAACCTTCAGTTCTGGAAATTGTTCTAGGTAAGAACATGAGCCAACTTGCAGAGGAACATCATCATCTCCAGCATTGTGGCCTGGCTTTGGTTGTCCTCAAAAGCTGGGCAGGTCCCTGAAGACAAGGGAGGGATGACATCAAGTCATTAATTCAGACCAAAAATTTGACCTCTAGAGTCCCTCTAACACAGCCTAAGGGGAGACTGAGCACCCAGACTGAGCTTAAATAGAGCCCCTGGGCAGGGGTGTGGGTGGAGGTCCCAGGTGAGGCTGGTCAGGGTCATTAAGACCTGTCAATGCTCTCGGTGCCCTGACAGAGCTGGATGTACCCGCAGGAAGCACCTGAGGATGTTCTTCACCGTCCTGGGCTGTGATGCCATTTTAGATGGGTTATCTGAAGCCGCTCAGATACTTTCCCTATGACAAACCAGCTCCCTGTTTCTGTTTGACACCTCTCATGGCTTAGAGAAGGGCAGTTATTCAATTTTTTTGCCAAGAAATGGAAACAAATATTCCTGACCAGTTCATCTCAGGCTATTCACAGTCATTAGCTTTGTCCTCACGGACACACTTTGGCTCTGGGCAGGACCCCTTTTCTGCAGCAGCAATGGCACCACCTGTCTGTAAAGGAGAAGAGACCCCAAGGGAATTGCTGAGTTTGGCCTGGACGGAAGCTTGCTGCTTATTGGAGCAGAAATACCCTTCTTACCATGGCAGGCTCATTAGCTGCAGATCTTCCCTCACCACACAGCCTGCCACACAAAAAAATTATTAGAAATTCATTCCCATGGGGTTCAGGCAGTTTGGGAAATCACAGAGTCCTGGAATGGAAGGGACCTTAAAGATCATCTTGTCCCACCCCCTGCCATGAGCAGGGACACCTTCCACTATCCCAGGTTGCTCCAATCCCTGTCTATCCTGGCCTTAAACACTTCCAGGGATAGGGCAGCCACAGCTTCTCTGGGAAACCTGTTGAAAAACCTGTAGGTGCTCATGAAAAAGGATGTACAGTTCCCCAGCCAGAATAAATTCTTGTTTCAGGTGCTGAGGGGAGCAGTGTGTGTGGAAGATGTTTTGTAGTTGTTGATCAATGTCTCATTCAATTGCATCTCTGAGAAACAGGATGTTGTCCATTGTCCAGCCAGAGCTGGAGTTATTAATTACTTCAGGGATTATTACTTCAGCTTATTTTTTCTCATTACACCATTATTTATGTTTCTAAATAATATTAACAAAGTAAAACCCAGACATAGCTTCTGTGTCACCCACAGTCCTCTAAGTGAAATTATGGACATTTTTTCCCTTCTCTGTTTCAGTCCCTCCAGAGGAGCCGCTCCTGGGCAGCATCTACAGTGAGAATCCCCATGGTAAGAAGACCTTGGGTAGCTCAGACTTATTAAGCCAGGCTTTCTCCTTGGCTAGCAGTGGAAGGTTTAACCCAAGAAGCACCTGCAGCATTTGGGCATGCTCGCATCAGCGAGCTCATGTACATTTGGGGAGATCAGAGCCAAAAAAGGGACCTTTCCACTCGGTGGGGACGTGACCCACCTGGAGGGAAGGCTGCAGTGATCTCACATAATGCAAGCCTGGAGTTTTGCTTTCTTATGAGACTTACAATGTACATTTCAATTAGGAGGTGAGAAAACAAGGAAAACATAATATCAACATATATCACAACAGCAAGAGACTGTTTCCATCTTGCAGTTTGAACCGGGGACTCATTTAAGCACCTCCCACCCATTTTTCTAACGTTGGTGATGCTCTGGTTTGCACATCTTCTGGTAGAGGTCACGTTATGATCTGTTGCAACACTTTAACCAAAAGCAAAACCAACATAAGCTGAAGAATTCACTTCAGCATTTCTGGAAGGGAAGGTAAGGCCATGTAGGAAATGGTTACTGACTGAATCACTTGACTGAATCCCCTGGCATGACCTCTTCCCTCTCCATCCTTTTTCAGATGATGACATCAGAGTTTTCCTGGGACTGGGCATCAGCATGGTCATATTATCAGTTGGTTTTGCAATTCTGATGTTTAAAAAATCAGTCAGAAAAAGGTATTATTTTCTCTTCTACACATTTTTTCCTTATTTCTAGCTCATACCTTTTTTAGTATGTATTTTTAGTATGTAGAAGAAATTTCTTCTAGGATATTTTAAAATCAACTCCAGAAGCCAGTCTTTTCAATGCAGCCTTTTCAATGAGGGCAGCATCACCCATTCACCAGGTTGTTGTATGAAAAGACATTTGTGTGCTCTACAGTAAGGCAGAGACCAACAAAAAAACCCAAAACATAGAATCATAGGATTGGTAAAATCATAGAAAGGGGAAACCCACCTGTATGGGGTGAACCTGCAGCTTCCAAGCCACCCTCAAAGTCTGGATGCACTTTGTGTTCCCTCCTGCCAGGACAGTTTCATGCTGCATGAGGAATAACTGATTGATAAAATGGACTGATATCTTGGGGTTTATTTTTTTTCTTTTTGCTAAAGTATTAAAGTCACCACTGTGCAGCTTTTGCCAAAATGGCTGTTTGAAGAGTTTCCCCACATGGAAAACAGCAACGTGGTGAAGTCCCTCCAGGTAAGTGCAGCAGTATCTCCTTTTGCTTCATCTCAGATTAAAGCTTAGAATCACAGAATCACAGGATTGTTTAGGCTGGAAAATCCCTCTAAATTGAGGAATCGAGTCCAACCATCCCCCAGCATTGCCAAGGCTACCACTGACCCATGTCCCCAAGTGCCACATGCACATGACTTTTTAATCCCTCCAGGGATGGGGACTCCCCCACTGCCCTGGGCAGCTGTGCCAGGGCTGGACAGCCCATTGCAAGAAGGAATTTTCACTAATATCCAGCCTAATACTCCCCTGGCAGAACTTGAGGCCATTTCCTCTTGTCCTGACACTTGTCACTTCGGAGAAGGCAACTTGCTCTGTTGCTGTGAAAAACATGGATGGGAAGAGGATTAAGCTCTAAGGGACCGGAAACTGCTCAGGAATCATTTCCCAAGCATTCGTAAGGTGTATGACAGCCCAGACTAGCTGAAGTCTTTAAACCTTGCCCCAATATAGTCTGTATTTAGTGGCCACAGCTGTCTCAAGCTGGAAGGGACCTTAAAGCTCATTCTATTCCATCCCCTGTCATGGGCAGGGATCCTTCCACTGGAGCAGACTGCTCCAAGCTCTAATGACAGATCTCCTGTTAATAAAATTTTCCAGTTTGTTACTACAGTCCTCATTTTTTTCCAGACCAAGAGTGATTTAATGAGTGACAGTTTCCAGGATCCACTCCTGGACACCAGCGACCCCACAGTTATGGAAGTCGAGGAGGTGCCGGCGCATGAGGCACACGAGAGTGTGGCCACCCCAAGGAAGCCCAGCAGAGAGGTCACTGAGGATGGGGAGAACCCAGGGGCCGTGGCTCCTGCCAGCACCACAATCCTGGAGCATATCAGTGACTACAAACCCCAGATATCCAATGGGAACACACTGGGATACATCGCTGCCAACATTTACCAGACGCAGCCCCCCCCAGTCCTCCCAGAACCAGAGATGAGCATCTTTGGAGACTACACGAGCCCCGTTCCACACTTGTGGGATGGGGAGGGAGGGGCACCCCAAGTCTGTCTGCTGGAGAAGATCAACCTCATCCTAAACAACAGTCGGAGCGGGCAAAGCCAGATGTTTGTCTCAGCCCAGGGGGGACACGCGTCCCTCCCAGAGAACCAGTGGGGACAGAGGCTGCCCAGCCATGACCAAGAGCAAATGCTGGTCCCCAAGGAGCTACTCTCCTGCCTCAGATCCATGAACAGGGAGTCAGTGGATATAAAGCCCTACTTTCCACAAAGCATTGGAGGGTTATTTTGAGAGGAATTGTAATTGTGGTTAAAACCCCATAAGTGGTGACCAAGGCAGGTATCAGATATTTGAGATCACCAACAGCAGAGCTGGAGCAAAACCCCCAGTCAGAAATTTGCCCTCTTGCTCACTACAAGTTCTTGTGGCTGCCTGGAAAACTTGGGCCAGTAAATCACAATTTTAAACTTATCTTGTATTGACACAAGCAAAAAAACTGTAAAACCTGGATTCCTGTAGGAACTGAAATGCCAAGCAGGTGATTCTTGCAAGGTGCAATGTGTTTTAATTATTATTCAACATCCTTCTCTTGTTAAATATTTGGAGCATTTCGTCCTTGGAGATGATTGTGGTTACCATTGATAAAAAAAAATCCCTCAGACATCCTGCCAGAGGTGTGTAAAATATTTTGGGATTACTCCTGATGAAGAGACACTGCACCAAGGAGGATTTATGTATCATACATAGGTGCCAACAACTCTTCTGTTTGACAGAATAACCCAATTTCATTTTCCTCCCATTCCATAATAAAAACCCAATGAGGTAAGAACAAGCCTTCGTTGCCTGCCAGGCTGATTTAAAATCCCTCTGAATCAGTCCCTGGCCTAATCCTTCACTTTGGGTGAGGGATTTATCACCTCAGAGCACTTTCGTCAGTGCCTCAGCTTACTGTGTGAAGCACAGTGTGGCACAGCAAAATGGGATTTTTTTAGGCATGTGACTGGGAATTTGGATCTTCTGACATCCAGAAGGTGAAATGCAGGAGTCTTCTTCCTGCTGAGCAGTCATGAAACCATTTACAAGTTTTCCTGGGACTTACAAAACATTCCCAAAGTATATTTCTTTCAATTTTTCCTAGGCACTGTATGCATTTCTCTATCAGCTGTTGCACAAATGGATCAATTTTGTTGTTTATCCTGGATACTTCCAAACCAACACCATTGTGGGCTGTGCTTGTTTTCTTCTAACACCCCGAGAGATCTGTCACTGATATTTCTGGAGTAGTAGATACCTGGCTAAGTGGGGTAGGATTATTCTTCAGAAGCAGCAAACTGTTTCTAAGGCAGAAATGTGACTGTTTCATGTAGGTGAGTCTAAAATTAGTGATTGCTGCCTGAGCAGGAAGGAAATTGTAGAAGAACAGCTACATACCATCAGTGTGAGATGGGGAAGGTATTTTTTTCAATGTCCACATCCTGAAACTTGTGCTGAACTTTGTCACCTGAACTACCAAAGCTCACAGGGGAAAATGCTTCTTTTGTCAGCAAATAAGGCTGAAAGCTTGGTCTTACCTTTCAGGCTCTTGCTGGTTGAATTTCCAGCCCTAATAACTCCCTCCAGCGTGGATCCCTGCAAATATATCCACGGCCAGGGGAGCACAGGGATGAAACATTGCCCAGATCATGCCATGGATATTTGCCTCAGCAGTGCCAATGCTCCCACTGATTTCTTAGGTGCTGAAGGAAATATTTCTCCTTTTCATGGGTGTGGGGGTGCATCTGGTAAATTTGGGCTGGTTACTGGAGGAAATGGAAAGAGAGGGGCACAAATGTATATTTACATAGTGCTTCACCATATATATATGTCGATATGGTGAAGCCCTGGCACAGGTTGCCCAGAGAAGCTGTGCCTGCCCCGCCCCTGAAAGTGTCCAAGGCCAAGTTGGACAGGGTTTGGAGCAACCTGGAATAGTTGGAGGTGTCCCTGCCCATGGCAGCAGTGGAACTGAATGATCTTTAGGGTTTCTTCCAACCCAAACCAGTCTGGGATTCCGTGATTCAGAACACTGGGCCAGGTTGTTCCAAGGCCCGTTAAACCTGGCCTTGGACACTTCCAGAGATGGGGCATCCCATGAACCAAATCATGATGTCACTCTCAGTAGATTTATTTTAACATCTCAGATTCCCTCCCTCCCTCCCTTAAATATTACATACTCCCTAATCCTTGATATATCAGTATTTTCTAACGTTTGGTTTTACTGTTGGCAGTTGGATCTTGTGCCAGCGATTTCCACTAGTCATTTATCAGCTCAGGAATGAATTTAATGGGTTGTTCAGTGCCATCACAACCTGGGTTTATGTACCTTGGAGACACTTAAAGGAAGGGTACACTGAATAATGTCTCTGCCCACAGAGAGGGAGCACCAAAAACAATCACTGGTGTAACTCACTGATTGCAAACTCCTCTGTCCATGATCCCCTGCGAGTGACATCTGTGTGTCAATACTTAATGATGAGACATCCTTTGTTCTGAATGAGTAACATGGAGCAGTGTTCTTACACGTTACTTACACCTACGTGTACTGTAATAACTACCAAAGCAGAATAGCTCACGACCCACAGAGATGCACCACAACACGGTGTCCCATCGCTACCCAAAGTTCTAACACAACCTCCCTGAAACAGATATTTTTATAGAAATAGAAGGAGAGAACAGATGAAAAAGAAATAAGAAATTGGGTGTTCAAAGCTTCAGTGCGTTTGGAGAACAGCAGAGTCATCCACTCCTGCTCTTATCTCCATCCCCTCCATAGAGCAGGGTGTATCTACTGGGTGTATCGAGTGTGACCTTGAGGCAATAGAAGTTACCAGCACCACTCCCTGAGGGACTTGTTTACCACCCTTCTTCAAAGAGTAGAGTTGGAGATTAATTAAACCAAATGCAGAATGCAGAGATTATAAATAAATTTGACATGTAATAAATTATGCATCAAATGTACATCAATAGCTACAATGTTATATCATTTATGCCTCTTCTCTGCCCCTGTTATCATGCAGGAGGACATGGAATTCGTTCTGGTTTGAGGTTTGAAGCACAAAAGAGCTGGGTTTAGTCACAGCTTAGTCACCAACTCACCGTGTGACCTTCACCAAGCGCTTTGTCTTCATTTCTTATTCACAGAGTCTGAATAGTAACAACTACCACTGGTAAAGCCTCAGGATCTGAGGTCAAAAGCACCTTAAACTCTTTGGTAACAGGAACGGGACAAGAAGATCATTGAAACATCTTCTGAGTAATATTGTGCAGCTTGATTTTATTCTGTGTCGCATTTACAAACCCACCCCAGGCTGGAAGGTTTGCAAGGGCTTGGCTGTCAGTAAACTGTGGGAGAGATTCAGTGGCAGATAAAGATGCTGCAGAGGCTAAAATTGGATTACAAACTTGTGAATTTCACAGAGCTAAGTAACACCCGTCGACCTCCGGGGATTTCTGAGTGCACAGACCGAAGATCAAAGCCCAGATTGTGACCAAGGCTCGTGCAAAGCTGCAAAGAAGTGCCTGGATCAGCAAAAGCCTTCTGGAAACGTGGCAAGGGGGAAACGGTCGCAGATGGAATGACCTGACAACAAAAGTGGGAATATCCATTAAAAATTATGCTATTTGGTGTAGTCTCTTCCACCCTGAGTTTTGGGGGGTTAGTTCTTATGGAGGGAGGATGAGGAGTTGTGCTCGGGGTGGGAGGGCTGAGAACAGCGGCAGAGACTGAAACCAAACTGGCATTTCAGAGAAGAGGATGTGAGAGGTGAGGCTGTGGTTTGGGTCTCGTCGGGCTCCACTGAATGCCACCTTCACAGGGAAAATCACATGAGAATGGCTCTTGCAAAGCCATTGGAGCAGGGCTTGGATTCAGGAGAAAAGGAACCTTGAAAACAGCAGAAAGAAAACAAGCTACAAAGGTGATCTAGTACAGGGGATTTCATGATTGCTGCTTACCAACCCAATCAAGCCTTTCCTGAACAGAGAGGAATTAATCTTGCCACAAGAATATCAGAAAAACCCAGTATTCTTAACCTCAAAAGGACCCAAGTGTTGATGCATCTTGTGCATAATCTGTATGATTTCCTAGAGGGTGTGATTTCCACACTCTCCCTGTGGATCAAGCCTTCCTTGGCTTTCATATGTGCAAGAGGAGACAGAACAATTACCTTTACCAAACTAAGTGACTCATTTCATCCTGCTGGATGAAGGCCAATTCAATGAGAGTCACTGGCACACAGAGCAGATGGAAAACTAACAGAACCAGAGCAGAGGGGACCTGCAGTACTGAAAACAGACACCCCTGCACTGAGTTATTGCTCATTCTGCTGCTGCAGCTGTAACTTCAACAGTGCTGGGGGCTGGGTGCCACAACTCCACTGTCCAGGCTCCAAGGAACCAAATACCTGAGCAGCTCAAAGTCATTAACATGAGAAGGAAGCTATAGACCTGTTGGAGTGAGTTCAGAGGAGGACACGGAGCTGCTCCAAGGACCGGAGCACCTCTGCTCTGGAGCCAGGCTGGGAGAGCTGGGGGGGTTCACCTGGAGAAGAGAAGGCTCCAGGGACAACTTAGAGCCCTTCCAGTGCCTAAAGGGGGAACCTAAAGAGAGCTGGAGAGGGACTTTGGACCAGGGCCTGCAGGGACAGGCCAAGGGGAATGGCTTCCCACTGCCAGAGGGCAGGCTTAGGTGGGATATTGAGAAGGAGTTTTTGACTGTGAGGGTGGTGAGGCCCTGGCAGAGGTTTCCCAGAGAAGCTGTGGCTGCTCCATCTGTGGAAGTGTCCAAGGTAGCACTGGGCTTGGAGCAACCTGGTCTGGTGGAAGGTGTCTCTGCCCATGCCAGAGGTGGAACTGGATGGGCTTTAAGGTCCCTTCCACCCAAGCAAGTCTGTGATTCTGTAATTCTCAACAAGCCCTCTCAGCTCTTACATTTACATGTCTCTTGGTGTCTGCTCAATTCACGTACAAGTTCACCCCGTGCAGTCACTGCAGACCAGCAGGGCTGGGGCTGGTGGAGCTCGGCCAGCACGGCTTCCCCTGAGCTCTGTGAGGTGACACTGCAACCACCAGTGTCCTCTTGCTTTGTCCCCCCCCATATGCAGCCTCTGTGCCTCACACACGGCTCCCTCTGCCACTGCCATCACCCAACAGCACCAAATATCACACCCTTCTGTCAGGGTGCTTTCCCCGGCTCCGCTTTCAGACTCACAGACACCCCCTCCCCCTAGAGAACGGATTACTCTGTACTTTCCTTGACATCACCCCATGCCAGGGGCACCAGGGAGGGTGGCACAGCATCTTCAGGGCACCGGCAGCTCCATTGGCAGCAGGACCTTGGACTCTGGTTCCCTTTGGCTGTGGTGAGTACCACATGCTCAGCAGAAGTCAATAAAGAAAGAATTATAGGAAGAGGCAGAATTTGGTGCTAAAAAATAAGAGAAAGGGAAAAGGAAAAAAGGAAAGGGAAAAACGGAAAAGGAGAAAGGAAAAAAAAAACAGAAGAAGGAAAAAATAAGAAAGAAAAAGGAAAAAATAAAAAAGATAAAGAC